TATAATCCATAATTATGTCCCCACTGGATGCAACAAATGCCTCGTTTATAAAGGGTTTTCATGTTTTTGAATCGTCGCTCCGGCAGTGTTGCCAACTTCTTTCAATAGAAAGTAGCTAACCCCCCCTTGAAAAGTCGCTAAATGTCGCTAGATGATGTCATACGCTAATTAGCATATTCATGACGTCAGTGCGTAGTATTGTCTTGCCTCCCTGTGCTCACGTACTGCATTTTAATGCAGCCAAATTCTCAATAAAACTGTTTTTATAAATATATTTTACTGTTTCTGTTGTCAGACAACGGAATGAATATTATAGTGACTGAAATGCGGTCCATTAAGACTACATAACCAGCTCTCAAAGATTAATCTGCACTAAAATCCTAATCACGACATTGTCTAATGAAATCAAATACACATACGATTAAGACAATGGCTGTGCTGTGATTTCGGCTATACTTGCATGTAAAATAGAGTTAGAAACAACAGAATATCTTTTTTTTAACTGAAAGTGCTGCTCCTCTCTGCGCTCGCTGAACAGAGCAGACGCAGAGAGAGAGTGTGCGCTGGGACAGCAAGACCTCGTCTCAGAGAGAGACCGGAGAGTCTCAGAGACTAAATAAGGTTTGTCCAAGAAAGTCGCTAGATTAGTCGCTAGTCGCTTTTTTGGAAAAAAAGTCACTAAGGGGGTCTGAAAAGTCACTAAATATAGCGACAAAGTCGCTAAGTTGGCAACACTGCGCTCCGGCCTGACAGGGCATCACAGTATGGTAAGGGGCGTAACATTTCCGTCACATGCTTGAGGTATTCGGCCAATCACAACGCACTGGATAGTTGGCCAATCACAGCACACCTCGCTTTTCAGACCGATGAGCTTATGTGGAAAATAATGTGTTTTTTTAACCTTAAACCGCATAAACACATTTCATTACACCAAATACACCAAATAATGTTATTTTTAGCAACATCATATGACCCCTTTAAAGAGCCACAAAATGATATTTTGTTGTTTGAATTTCTTAATTACAAAATTTGAAAGCTGAGACTGTTTCATACCAAAAGGAACCTGCTCTGTCTTGTCTGCGTTGTCCGTGTCCTCTTTATGCTTCAATATAGTTTTCACTGAGTGAGAATGTGATGTATAACATGAGAGCGCCATGGCTTGTCGGATGTAGCAACAGTCTTTGCAAAGGGTCAATTACGAATAAATTAATTATTTTAATGCAGAGCATAAGGATATGCAAATATTTACCATGTCATCACTATTGATGCAGTCGCACTGTATTTTAATATTAGGATCTGGAGTTAGCATGCTGGAAGCATTTATGAATTTTATGAATGCATTTATGTGTAAATAAGATTCACATGGACTACATTGAGTGAAAATGGTATTTTAAAGAGGTTTCAGCACTGTTTTGATAAATATATGAGACTGTTATGCATTAAGTCTTGGCTGTGATTGTTGGTTACTGAACACTTTTAAACCAAATGAAAGCCATATATCATTACTATTACCAGATAATTCAGTGGCCCCTGGTCATTTTCTAAAAGTGGCTCTAAAGCAAAGTAACATGAATATCCCTGACATAGATCTTTATAGAGCCTATTTCCTCAACATCCCCTCAGTCGCTCTGTTCCTCTGCCTTTCTGCCCCTCAGTGGGCATCTCTGTCTGGGTCAGCATTTCTCTGTTTCTTCAGTTTTCCCCTTGTGTGCATGTGCTGCTGGCCAAATGTAGGTTAATGACTTGAGCAGCACTGCTGGCAGGAGGAACACTTGAACAGATAACCCTACCCCGGAGATTTGTTGGCCATGCAGTAGTGGACTTGGACTTGTGCATGTGCATGAGTCTGTTATTGTTCTGTAATAGTCCCTCAGTGCCAAAGAGAGAAGAGCGGTCACTCCCTGCGGAGCTTTGTGTAAATCATCGGTATTCTTTTCAGCAGCATCCTCTGTTCTTCCACATGGAAGCATCTCTCGCTTCCTCTCCAACATATCAAACACTGAAATAATCAATAATAAATTATAAATGACAAAATGGAGCAGATCCAAATGTATAGCACTCAGTGTGAATCCTGGTGTTCCTGTACTGTATAGAAGCCTGTTTTTATGTTAGAAGAATAAAAACTAAATCCAACTTCATGAATTTATTTATCAAAATCTCTTTATATCTCACAGTTGCAACTTCATGTCTTTCTGTATCTCACAAAGTGACTTTGTATCTTGCAAATGAGACTTTACAAAAGAGTTGATATCTCTAAATTGAGACTTTAAGAATTTATATATACCGCTGCAACTTTATATCTCACAATTGTGACTTTATGTCTCAGAATTGAAACTTTATATCTCAGTTGCAACTTTGTCTAACAATTTTCTCACTGTTTAGACTTTATCGCATTGCAACTTTATATCTCACAATTAGGATTTTACATCTTACAAGTGCGACTTTAGATTTCACGTTGCGACATGGTCTCACAATTGCAACTTCACATCTCACAGTTGCGACTTTGTCTCATGTTGTGACATCTCACAATTGCAATTATATTTCTCAGAATTAAGACTTTATATCTTACTTTTTAGACATTATTCCCCATAATTGTGACTTTATAGCACAGTTGAGACTTTAAATCTTGTATCTCACAATACGACGACTCACAGTTGGAACTTTATTTCTCTTAACTAATTTTTAACTCTCCCACAATTTTTTATTTATTTTATTTTTTGAATCTGATGAAGAAACTTGCTTCCATAGGTAGCAAACTGAATGTACATCTTATAGATGCTGTTATTGATCAAATATAATTTCTCCATCCTCTTCTTACTCAGACTTGGCAATAGGGGCTCCATTCGCAGGGGAGGATCGTGGTGGCAGGGTCTTCATCTATAATGGGCAAAAATCTGGGCTGATGTTACAGGCATCTCAAGTGCTGAAAGGCGACTGGGCCTCATCCGGCATCCCAGCAGGCTTTGGATTCACCCTGCGAGGAGATTCTGACCTCGATAACAACCAGTACCCTGGTGAGTAAAAAAAAACTTTCAGTCTCTTCCTCTCTCTGTTTACGCAAGTTTCTGTTAAGACAATCATGCTTAGGAACTGATGTAAGCCAGGGAGATTAGATGTAGGAAGAATGAAAGACTGGACCGAGACATCCAGGTTGAGTCACATTGTTGGTCAGTTCATTGGTCTTTTTTTTTTTTTTTTTACAAATGTGTGCAAGTATTTCCACACATTCTTTTTCATTTCTTGGGCTTTTATTTGTCTCCTTTTATGGTGGGATATTTTTTCTGCATATTTTTCTCGTTACTATGTTTATCATGGTTTATTTATCATGTTTTAATTGAGAACAATCTTCCGCAGAGTGTGATGAAATCCATGTAATTTCTGACGCTCTCTGCTGTCTGAGCCACATCAAATCACACATATATGAATGACGTTTCAGCTCATTTTCATTGAGCACAGTGACTTGGAGTTTACCTGAGAAGGTCAGATCTTATTGAACTTTTAGATATTTTAAAGTAGATCTTTTTGAGACTATGGAGATAAATATTTGCAGGTGACTGAACAGGTTATATATAGCCTGTGTGTATGTGTGTGTGTGTGTGTGTGACAGATTGTTGTGTGGCAGATGTTGACTGGGTTCCAGATGAAGTTTCAAGGGTTCAATTCTGGTTCTTTCAGCCGTGTGACTAATGGCGCTTTTCCACTGCATGGTACGGCACGGTACGGCACGGTACGGCTCGGTACGGTTCACTTTTGGGGGGTTTTCCACTGGGTACAGTACCTGGTACCTGGTACTTTTTTTAGTACCACCTCGGTTGGGGTTCCAAGCGTACCGTACCGTTACCAAAACGTGACGTGTAAACTCTGCTGATCACGGATTGGCCGGAGAGAATCGTCACTACCTGCGTCACTGAACTTGCGACACAAACACAAAGTTTGAGAGAGGCGGGGCATAGAGGACCTACAATAATGTACAGTATTTGAAAAATAATGTGTTTTTTGAACGTTAAAGCATGTCAACATATTCTGTTACACCAAATACACAAAATAATGATCTTTAAAATAGCATCATATGACCCCTTTAAAAATGTCTTATGTTCATCATGGCTGAATGTATTTGATCAAAAATACAGTAAAACCGTAATATTGATTTATTTAAAAATTTTCAGCAGCCATTACTCCAGTTTCAGTGTCACATGATCCTTCAGAAATAATTCTAATATACTGATTTGATGCTCAAGAAACATTTCTTATTATCAATGTTGGAAACAGTTATGCTGCTTAATATTTTTGGAAACATATTGGAAATATCATATAAATATTGAAAAATATTTCATTGGAAACAAAATATTTTTTGGCCTTTTTTTCAGTATTCTTTGATTAAATAATAATTTCAAAAGAACAGCATTTATTTGTAATAGAAATCTTTTGTAACATTACAAATGTCTTTACTGTCCCTTTTGATCAATTTCATGTTTTCATTGAAAAAAAAAAACATACTGAGCCCAAACTTTTTACTGGTAGTGTATTTTAACAAAATATTTTTTTTTTTTCATTTTCAAAAAAAGATGGACATTACAAACTCTGCAGCTTTGGCATTTAGCATTACATAACCATGTAAGCCTATCATATAAAGACCCTGATGACATGAAGTTATAATCAAGCTACAGTATGTACAGTTAGGTACAGTCATCATCTGTCTGTCCAAGTATACATAACGCAATTGGTATTCAAATATTTGAAGTTTCAAATACATGTTGCACTTCATCACTGTGTTTTGGAGCAAATGCACAATGCTGAGGCTGATTGTAGTCTGATTAATATATATTATATATATATATGTGTGTGTGTGTGTGTGTGTGTGTGTGTTGGATGAAGCCAAGCTACAATCACATTATCTAGGTCGGTTAGTGCAGCTTTGCAAAACCTGACTGGTACAATTTCAGTATGACTAAAGCCTTTACATGATTTTTAAGGATAGGCTTTATTATAACTGAAATCAAACATTTAAAGTGTTCGCAAACAAATATGTTATATAATGTGATGTATTATGGAACTGTGTCCATACAAAAGCAGTTTATCTGGAATATGTCCTGAACTGACTTGCATTCAGACAAAAGAGCCTCTGGTTTCCCTGTTGAGGTCTGGCAGTGTGAAGAAAATAAAGACACTATGGCTCTATCATGAGGTTATTAGTTTGGGCAACCCAACTAGACTTCACATGGTGTTTATGGATTAGTTTATATTGATTTGAACTGCCAGAGTGCATATTCAGAGCTTTCTGAAGAACACAGATCTGCATGTTCTCACAATCCATCACAGCTGTGCCATAATCTTGTTTTGACTAACAGAAATATGAATTCATTGTTTCATTTAAACTACAAAAACATCCAGTGTGTTTCTAAAGCTCAACTTTGCTGTAACGCCTTAAGCCCATTTCAGCAAAAACAGAGCAGTGTGTTCATTCTTTCTGTCCATTAATCACCTCTTTCATTTTTTAATGGCATTGTACAAAATCATCAAAGCAGATGCTGTCACATGCTTTCTTTAAAGAGACGGGAAGTCAGAATGTCAGGCAACTTTTATGCACATGTGTGTGTTGCGCAAGTGTGTGGGTGTTTGTTCTTTCATGGCGACAGGATTGTCATCTTAAATATGCTCTAATAAAAGCAGATCTTTTCCATACATGAAAACCATCAATGGATAGCAAAACGATCACACACAGGTGTACATACACGCACACAATGATGCTGAACAGACCCAGAAAGCAAAACGAAAGACAGAAAACAGGTTTTCCTGTCTCTCCTTCTCAAAATAGATAAACTGCAGCTTTTTAGAGATGTGATCTCCATAATCTTTGATCAGTGTAAATCATCTAATTGGCCTTTTAGTATATAATTGATGCATGTACATGTACATTTTTACAGATCTTTATCACTTTCTTCAGTTAATTTGGATTAGAGCCCTGCACTGGCCTCAAATTTAGGCACTAGCCCGGCCCTGGCCCGAGACGCTCAGGCCCTAGCCCGGCCTGTGTCCGACAGCTTATCAGAATTACCGGCCCGAGCCCGACCCGAGCTCGTCTTTTTTTCCCCTTCTCCCAAAACAGCTTATACTACTGTTTCAGCTATTAAAATAGTTCAGTTTT